TAATGAAACAACTTCCTAAAGACGCATACCGTGACATCTAAGAATAATGCAAAAAGTAATAATCCAAAGATTTCCAATTGTTTGACATAAAAATTCAGATTCTCTCTCCACCTGGCCCCCAATATGTAGCTTTTTAAATTTATAATAATTTTTAAACTGTTTGCCCTTTATCTCGTGTTGTGTAAATGTATTAGTTAATGTTTATGACATTCAGCAAATTATTGGATAGCCTAATTTTGACGAAATGCCCCTGAAGATGCTCTAGGAGTGAAAGTACTTGGGCAAGATTTAATAAAAACTGTGCTCGATATCTGCCTTATATTTAATTAAAATTCATTTATTGGAGTATTCAACCATATATCAAAAATTTATTTGTTTGAATATCTTCAGTTTTTTCAACTTAAAAAAATGTACTTTTGTGTTATTTTGTTTATGTATTATTTTTATTATTAAATCCAAAATATTGATCAAATATTGTTTTTCAATATATTTTAGAGTAATACTAGCGGACCAACTCGACATCGAGTTTTTTAAATGAATTTTTTATTTTTATTTATTTTGCGAGAAAAATTAAGAGATCAATACAAACAATATAAGCAAGAATAATAACATTCATCAATAATAATGCAAGTAAAAAGTGTATTAAATATCACGAAATATTTCGTCGAAAACAATGTTTTTTGTTACAATGTCTCCATTTCCTGAAAACCTTTGCTTGGCACCGGGAGTTATGTAAACTTTTACTTTTTACTTTTTAATAAAAACGAAACCGGAAGTCGACCTCAAAACCGGAATGCAATTTTTAGTTCATCAAATGTCGACATGGATATCATTTAGCAGTTAATTTTGCATGCTGATCACACGAATCCGGTGTCAGTTTTGCTCTATCTTGACGTTTTATGTGCGTTTCGGGTCACTTCCGGTGTCGGATCGCAACCGGAAGTACGTATTTAGATTCGTCTCGACGAGACCTTTAGATCCATATATAAATTGTGGGGTCTTAAACTTAAAGTAAATTTTAACTTCCGGTCATCTCAAAACCGGAAGTGAATTTTTGTACCAAAAGTACACTCACCGGCAAAATTAACGGAACACCTTAAAAATGGGACATGTTAGATGACTCGAATTTCCTAAACCTGTTGTCCGATTTTAGTGATTTTTTTAGTATGTTATAGGTATATTATTTAAGAATATCAATGAAATAATATTGTTGCTAGACAGGTCAATGTCATTTCATACTGGGTGTAACAATCATACTGTGTTTTTTTCCATAAAGTTCGAAACACCCTGTGGAATATTCTAGCATATATAAAATATTGAAATTAAAGCTCAATTATAGTCTCAGGCTTTCTTAACATTTTCTTTTTTGATTCATTTGCTTGTGTTGGATAATAAAAAAGTTAGGTACGTTAACAACTAGCCATGTTTTTCATCAATAAATGCTCATTTTCTTCTTAGTTTCACCAGCATATTTAAAGGAACAACCATAAAATCTGAGTATTTTCTCTCTAGTCTATATACTGTTTAGATAATATCATAATACGAATGTTGGTGAAGTATTTTGAATTTATATTACAATGGTAGTACAATATAAAACCTGTTTAAGAAGAAATAAAACACAAAGATGTCAGACTCAACAAAATACGGATTTTAAACGCAATAACTTTATTGTACAGTTTGAACTTAAATTCGTTTTTTATGCATTTTTTTGGCTTTAATAGCGTGTGTTTCCCCTACGAGCCCTTACAACTGCAGTTATTCGTCTTCTCATACTTCTGATACCGCTATCGATCAGTTGTTGGGCAGTCTCTCCAGTTCCTCAATCAAAGCAATTGTGACTTCCTCTCTGTTTTGAATAGCAGGAACCCGTGCCCTAAGTTTTCTGCCTAGCATGTCCCACATATTCTCTATCGGGTTTAGGTCTGAGGAACACGCTGGCCAATTCATCGTTGTTATACCCACTTGTAATAAGAAATATCTTACACAGTCTGCGACGTGTGGGCTCGCATTATCCTGCATTAAAATAAAATTTTCGCCAATATATGGTGAAAAAGGTACCACATGGTCTTGGAGAATATCTCTGATATACTTATCTGCTGTTAATGCTTCATCATCAATCACCACTAACTCTGTTATTGCTCCCAAACATATACCGCCCCACACCATAATTGAACCTCCACCAAAAGGTACGGTCGTAGTAAAATTGAAAGGGGCATTTCGTTCTCCTTGGCGTTGATACAATCTTTCTCTACCGTCGATGTAATTTACACAGAAACGGCTCTCGTCCGTAAAGAGAATTTGACTCCAGTGGTTATCATTCCAATTTTGATGTACTCGACCAAATTGTAGTCGTGCTAAACGATGGTGTCTCTGGAGTCTGGGAGCTTTTATTGGCACATATGACTTGAGACCGGCTTTTTTAAGTCTCTTTCTTACTATGCGCTCAATTAAATACAAGTTTGTACTTGTTATGAACAGACAGAATGACTGTAAAATGTAAAACACAATACAAATAAACAAATTAATTTGACGTTTAAGACTTTCTTAAGACAAGGAGCTTTCAAAGCTATGTAGATATAGTCTATAAAATACAAATATAAAGAAATATTGCATTAATAACAGGTTCCTTTAAATTTGCCGGTGTGTGTATTAAATTGTTAACTTCTCATAGCCTACTTTAGGCTTGTTTATTAAACTAAGCAGAAAATAAGGATTTATTGATGAAAAACATGGCTAGTTGTTAACGTACCTAACTTTTTTATTATCAAACATAAGCAAATGAATCAAAAAGAAAATGTTAAGAAAGCCTGAGGCTATAATTAAGTTTTAATTTCAATATTTTATATATGCTAGAATATTCCACAGGGTGTTCCGAACTTTAAGGAAAAAACACAGTAGGATTGTTACACCCGGTATAAAATGACATTGACCTGTCTAGCAACAATATTATTACATCGATATTCTTAAATAATATACCTATAACATACTAAAAAAATCACTAAAATCGGACAACAGGTTTAGGAAATTCGAGACATCTACCATGTCCCAATTTTAAGGTGTTCCGTTAATTTTGCCGGTGAGTGTATATCTTGACAATCTCATACGTAATACTAATAATATTCCGAAAAAATATTTTAATTATCTAATATGGTTTTTGAGTAAAGTGGTGGACAAGAAAAGGGCTTAGCGTTTTAGTATATAAGATAGGCTATTTAGGATAATTTAGCTTCCCCATGTCGGTTTATTCATTGTCTGTTTCGCTTTATAAATAGTAGAAGGTAGAGATTTAGGTGAAAATCTGAATTTTGATTCCGAACAAGTAGAAATCTTCGGAATTTTAGTTTTTGCTTTAATAAAATCACATTTAAAGTTCTCACTTAAAATATATTACAAATTAATAGAGAAAATATAATCTCATGAAAGAAAAAAAAGGAAGCATTGCTGCTTGTGCAAATGGGGCGTGTTATAATGAACGCTCTTGGAATTATTTTTTTAAATGAGCGGATAAATATACCATAATGATTAAGGAAACAAATTTTAACCAAAATGGAGAAAATTCTATGTAATGTTATTAACACTGTTTTAGTAGTCATAGACTGGCTAATGAAACGTACAGACGATAAGAGGGACTATATATAAAGACAATAGACCTTTCACAAAATTGTTTTAACTCACTGTGAAAGATCTGGCTTTCGAAAACTTTTTTTTCCAAACCAAAAATTTACTGTAAGGAGTGGAAACACGGAAACATCTTTATACCTAAATGTGTACCCTTTATAAGCCAAATGTTCTGGCCGAATGGCCAGAAATTTAGAAATGTAAATGGCAATGGCAACGAAAATTACAATATACTACATTATGAAAACCAACATCAACTATTACTAGACATCGGCATCCAGCATTATAAGCCTTCATGAAAAATAAGAAAACGGAAACCAACACACCTATGGAAAACAAAAATACAAAGGAACTAAAAGAAATCAAGTTTACATGAAGTGAAGGTAAGATAATACGAAACAGAAGAGAACAGAAAAATGTTGTAATCAAACTTAGACAACAAGAGGAGCGTGAGATTAGCAGCTTGGCCATTAACACCTTTTGTTAAGTGTAATATCGAAATGTGCATTTTGCTCCACTTGGATTTGTACATTTATATGTGATTATATATAATAATCAATTAAGATGTCATAATTAAATTGAAAAAAGTATAAACCAGCATGTTCAAAATTAAAACACCATTAACATGGTATAGTGGCCATATACTGAGAAGCAATGCAGAACGAACTATGACAGCATAATATATCCATGGTTTAACAAATCGAGAACCTGTTTGTACATAAGCACCGCAAATATTTTTGGTACTTATCATACAAGTGCTAATAACACTCAAGTCGTCAGAGACGTAAATGCCACTGAACCTCTATAAATCATACGAACCAATATCAATTTAGGGACCCCAAAAATATGTAAAAAAGTTTACTACTTGGCTTACCCCTATAAGCCACCGTCGTAGGTGAAGAAAAACGAAAAAAATCGATTTACCAACAATCTTCTTCTTCTTCTAAAGGTGCCTTTTCCATTACTGAAGGTTGGCTATAACTACAGCAAATTGCTCTCTATCTTGAGCTGTTCTTAGTATCAAATGTGTATCCATACCTGTCCAGTCTCTTACATTCTTCAACCAGGAGCATTTTCTTCTTCCTGGACCTCTTCTTCATTCGACTTTCCCTTCCATTATAAGTCGTAGGAAGTTGTATTTTTCTCCTCTGTAAATATGTCCTGGATAACTCGTTTTTCTGTTTTTTACAATATTTAGAAGTTCTCTCAGTACCCATTTTTCTTAGCACCTTGTTGTTGGTCACGTGCTCTGTCCAAGAGATCTTCAGCGTCCTTCGAAAAACCCACATCTCAAAGGCTTCTATATGCCTCATACTTGTAATACCGAGAGTCCATGTTTCCACTCCGTATAGCAATATGGAATAAATAAACCTTTTTATAAATTAGTATCGGATATCCAACGATAACGTAGAGTTTATTAGGAATTTTTTCATTCGTTGAAATGCGGACCTAGCATATTCTATACGAGCACGCATTTCGACCTCGTGGTCAAGATCGCTTGTTATCCAGCAACCAAGATACTGAAATCTTTGTACTGGTTCTATATGTTTGTTATAGATACGAATATTAATGTCGATATTTGGTGCACGTGTAACAGCCATTACTTTTGTTTTATTTGTGTTTATATTTAGTCCCAAGCTATCTCCCTCTCTGGTTATGACATTCAAAAGTCGTTGTAAACCCTCAGCACTGTCCGCAACAATGACGGTGTCGTCTGCGTATCTTAAGTTGTTTACGCATTCTCCATTGATTTTTATTCCTTCTTCAATATTTTCGAGGGCATATTGAAAGATCTTTTCGGAATATATATTAAATAACAGTGGAGAAAATACACAGCCCTGACGAACTCCTCTTTTTATTGGCAATTCTGCTGTCAGACGATTGTCTATTTTGATAGACGCCATTTGATCCCAATATAGTTTTTTAATAAGTGCTACAGTGTTATGGTCTATACCATGTTGTATTAGGGTTTCTATGAGTTCTGTGTGTTTTATTCGATCAAACGCTTTTTCGTAGTCGATAAAACAGAGAAACACGCATTTTCGCTTATCTCGGCATTTTAACAATCTTCACGCTGCGGAAAAGATGTTTCAAATAAAAAATGTAGCTGAGATCATTTTAAACAAAAATGTTAATTAGCACTTTTTGTGTAGAATGAACCGTTCTTTCAGAAACAGCGCTTGAAGCGATCGGCGATTTGAACATCAGATACGCGCTCGAAATCAATATTTGTATCAACTCGACGGTACAAATTTGTTATCTGTTGATCGGAGTGCCCTATCAGCAAAAATCAAAATGTGTTTTAAGGCTTATCCTCGAATATTCTAACGGTAAATTTCAGTTTGCTATCTCTATTTCAAAAATTTCTTTCTTTACGAAAACAAAATCTGTTCATGAAGTAATATTCTAAACTTCGTTTAGATCTCTTTCAAGCCCAGGTCAAAAATGCGTTTACCTTTTACACGAGCCGATTATACACCGAGACAACCCCTGCAGTGACAGGTTTTTTAGTTACAATAAGACCATAAATCTCTTTAGTGGTATTTTGAGTAAATATAATAACAGATCAAAGTAATATAATCTATTCATAAATTTACAATGTAACAAATGTACATACATAATTTATTTGTTATTTTTTTTACGGAAAAATTGGCTGTCTGAAGTTTAACGTAGATTAAAGTTTACGGAAAATAAAAATTATAAAAAAAAAAGATTATTATTATATATCATAAAAATTTGATTAGTATCACGATCATTAAAATTGATCAAATGAAACGATATAAATATAGAGTTCTGTCTAATGTTTCTTCAGAAGGTGTTTCAAATAAAAATTATAATAAAAATCTTATCTAATTAGTATAACGATCATTAAAATTGATAAAATGAAACTATATGAATATAGAATTATGTCTAATGTTTCTTCAGAAGGTGTTTTAAATAAAAATTATAATAAAAATCTTGAAATTTTTGTAGCATATTTTCCCACAGTTATTTATCCCACAGTTATATATTCCCCATATATTTATCAATCTTTTCGAATAAAATATTTTTTGGGGTCCATACTGCAAACTAACAGTATTCTCTATTCGATATAAATAACAAAATAACTGTCCTTGCACTGGATAGTAATAGAAATCAGTTCTTTTTAAAATTACTTGAAGGAAGGAATAATTTAGTCACGCTATCATTTCCAATTTTGATTTTTGATATTGAATTTGATAGGTTGTGATTTATTACACCAAAATCTAATAAAATATACCATGACACAAGAAATAGTTTCAGAATAAGTTTGATGTGTTGTTTATTATCATTCAGTAAGAGACTAATTTACTTCTTACAGTGCTAATCTAACAGACAATTATTATTGTCAAATGAAAGAAATAAGATAATTTACTTGTGTGCTTGTGGTTAGTAAACGTCGGCCCTATGCAACTAATTGTCAACAAAGAACGGAGTACAAAAGTTTAGATTTATGAGATTTATGAGGAGCATTTATGAAACTTAGATGTATACTGAGTACTTATTTCAAAAATTTACAATTAAGGATTTAATTTGTTATATGTAAATATACTCCTAGATCTAGAGAAAATGGGAGTGCGACAATGGGAATTACTGGCACAGGACCGACAAACATGGAAGACAATAGTAACCGCGGTAAAGACTTACGAAGAGTTGTAGAGACATTGGTGATGATGATGAAATATACTGTATAACTATTTATACGGATGTGAAATATGGATCATGAAGGATAATATGATGGACATTTTGACATTTTAGGATGTATGTTGAAAAAGTAAGGCAAATATCGAGCACAAATTTAATAATCAAATCTTGCCCAAGTACTTTCGCTTTCTACAGCATCATCAGGGGAATCTGAAATAAGCCATGAAAAGTTTTTTTAAATGAAGAAAATTAATAAACTTCGATAAAAAACTCGAAGTTAATGGATGATAAAAGTTTGTTGTGATTAACATTTTAGACTTACTTCGTCAAATTTGGTTTATCCAGCAAGCGCAGATGCCCCTGATGATGCTGTAGAAAGCGAAAGTACTTGAACACGATTTGATTATTAAATTTGTGCTCGAAATTTGCCTTCATTTTTTAAAGTTCATTTATTCGAGCATTCAACCTTATATGAATAATTTAGGATGTGACTCAGGTATATGATAAAGTATGGCAAAGACGCCATAACTATAAACTAAGACTACATTTACCAAAACGATACTCTCAAATAATTGACTCCTCCATCTTGGAAAGATATTTCAGAATTAAACAGGAAGAAACATACATGGAATTGACAGATATTACAGCAGGGCTGCCACAAAGAAGTGTCTTTACCTTTTGTATACGTGTTATATTATTGTCCTAGAAAATATACAATTGCAACATTTACCGAAGATATTGCTATCATAGCAATATGCAAAACCAGCGAGGAAGCGACAAAGAAATTACACAGATGTTAATCAAATATATACTCCAGGGAAATAAGCAAAAAATAGACCATGTTCGTGACACTCAATAATCCAGGTCGCTGACAACTTTTTTAGTTATTGTAGACCTCTAGGAAGAAAACCTACTTCTTTTTTTGCCTTGAATTTGGAGCTGTTTTTTTAATTATTGACAATTTAATGCAAAAAACGCGACTGTTTCTATGATTATTGATACTAGTATTAAAAAAAAAATAGATTTTTGGAAGAAAATTGTTTTGCACGAATTATTTAAACAAACTAGACTATTTATTAATTAATTAATATATAAACAAATTACTAATTCCTAATGTACGTAGAAATTACATACAAATTAAAAATAGATTTCTATATAATATATAATATTATATATATATATATATAATATATATATATATATATATATATATATATATAATATAATATTATATATATATATATATATATATATATATATATATATATATATAATAGTTTCTATATAATAAATTATTATTATATAAGCAAATACTAAAACAATTGTATTATTATAAAAACAGTATAAATATTTAGAAAGAAAATGGAAAATCAACAGAAAATATTTCTATTCATATAAAAATTTATTAAAATTATAGGTACTTACTGCTTAGTTATATAACATTTCCTATTTTAAATACAATAAACACACTGGTTTGTCAAAAGTCGGAATAAGCCCTAATAATGTTATTCAACTTTATTTATCCTCCTCCGAGGGTTTTACCTACCTGGCGAGAATCCAGAAGCTACCGACAAGGACACCCTGTGCTGACGGAGAGAAAATTGCGTTTAGCAAAAATTTGAAATTTTTTAAAAGTTTATATCAAATAGCTGCTTTGTGTTACACTTTATGTTAAAAATAAAAACAGATTCGGAAAGTGGGTCAAATTCTGTAGTGCCCTATTTAAAAAAAAAATTTTTTTCGTTTATTTTAACCAAAAATATTTGAAAAAAAAATATTGTTTAAACAATTTATTAATTTACAACCAAATAGTGCACTAGAACTTTTTTAGACCTTCCATATAAAAAAAGAATCATCTCAATATCTGCCATAGTTTTTGCGTTATTTGATATAAACTTTTACATTGGAATTTACCTATGCCCAGAATCGCGAGGATCGGCCTTAAAGGAAAGAGTGTAGCATTTGTAAATAATTTTTGTATTTTGCCGCAAATGGACTCAGTTTCTATATATCTGTTCAATAAATAAACGTTGTGTGATTTTTGCCACTTTTTAACATTTCTCGCGAGATCAATAAAATTTATCACTTTCATTGACTGGTCACTATGGAATTTTCATTGCTAGAGCTAGTCTTTAAAAACTTTAGCATACAATTTTGGTCTTGAGTTTTGCAACAAATGTGATGCATCTGAAATATGCATAAAAAACTCTGAATTTAAAATTTCACATTACAAACGATCTAAAACGTTTAAAACTGTTTCTTTTCGATTACACAAGTATATTTTTTGAAACTACACAACTTCAGCTACAAATTCCACCTACCGCCGTCTTCGTGGGGGCGGTAGGTGAAATTTCCAGTGACTGGCGATTGTTTGTAATGCTAAAGTTTAAATTCTGCGTTTTTTTGGCGTATTTCAAATGATTCATATTTGTTGCCAAAACTCAGTATTTAATATTATAAGTTTGGAAGATTAGGCCCCAAAAATGGAAATTCCAATTCCAGATAATATATTTAATGATAAATAATAAAAATTTCCAGTTAAAGAATAATAAGTCAATCGAAAACCATTAGCAACAGTTAAAGCAATTGAAATATAACAAATCTAATAATGAATTTGGCAATTAATACAAGGGATACATTTTATTGATCTCATGTGAAATGTTAAAAAGTGGCAAAAATCACGCAACCGACATTAAAAATCTCCGGTCGCTTCAATTATTGTTTATTCAATATTTGTATTCAAAATTATCTCAGCTACATTTTTTGTTTGAAATATTTTTTTCTACGGTGCACCGATTAATGGTAAATCGATTTTTCCGTTTTCCGGTAAATCGATTTTTCCGTTTTCCGGTAAATCGATACGAGGGTGACTTTTAGGGTAAAGCCAGACGGTAAAAGTAGGAAACTTTTTTGAATATTGTTTGGGGTTACAAAATTGACATTCTCTGAAAAATTCAGCTTATTCGTATGATTTTTAGAGGTCAAATTTCTGACGACATGACTAATAATGAACAGTCAATAATAATAGGGTATTATTAGCGGACAGCCATATCACATTTAGTCATTTTACAAAAAGTTAATATTTGGCAGGAATAAACCAATTCAATATTAAATCAGTTTTATCTATAAGAAACTCGTAATGTAAACAAATGGTACAAAGAAGAATATAAAATATAAACGAAGCTCTAACAGAAAAAAATTGCTGAAAATTGCGTATTATTAGCCCAAACAGATTTAGTTCATAATATAATTTTTATTGTACCCAATTTTGTAACGGCCAAATGTATGTACATATATAATGATTAAAAAATCAACTTTTTATATTACCCTTGTAACGGCATCTTACAGTTGACCAACAAGTGATACTAGGTGTACCAAATGTCATAAATCATATCCTTTGATAGACACTATATAATAAACTAAAACACTAATAAAACTAAAAAGCACATACACATTATTTCCGTTGCCATTAGATTCGGGATCAACTTCCAGCGTTTCAGCAGACCATTCCAAATTTTCGACGTCCGATAACGAGGAACATTGACTCTTGTTGGGCTCGGAATTCTGCGATACGTGCTCCGGTGTCAAAACGAAACTGGGTGTCCCGCTAGACGTACCATTCACTAGCACTGTTGATTCTTTTGTTGTGGGTGACATCATACTCTCTGAAACACAATAAATTTTTAATGTAGGTGTGATGATTCGTTAATGAGGTATTCCGAATATGGACAAAAAAGTTAACGTGCTAAATCATTTAGGTATTACAATATTACGAAATCGTTTAAGAGAATCTGTTGTCGAGACCAGAGAACGTCTTAATAATGAATCATTGTTTAATATTTATTGAGGTTAAGGGTAATATTTACATGTTTTATAATTAGTACATAGAGTTTTCTTTAAGAACAAATTTAAGCGTTATTTTGAGTGGGTTGGTTGAGTGTATCGTGAGTAAGTTATATTTTCGTTTGGTATGGACGGACGATTTAAAATTTCTGAACAAGCTGTTGTATAACGAGAAACAAGACATCTCAAATTGTCGGTATTTTGTAAAAATTAAAAAACAGTGTTTTGTTTTTATATTTAATATAATTATGTCTTCTTCTTCTCGAAGTACCACCTCCGCGGCGGAGCTCGGCAATCATCATAGCTATTCAGACTTTTCAGACGGCTGCTCTGAAAAGTTTATTTGATGTACCGGGTGGTCCAATAAGCCGATCTCTCGGCTATATATCAGAAACTATTCATGTTATAACTTTAAGAGAGAAAATTCCTTAGTAAAAGTGGCCGGGAGAAATCGCTGTTAATAACTTTCAACTTGCTGGGTTAACCGCTAGGGGGCGTAACCTGTGAAGAAAACTGTAAAAACCAGTTTTTTGGGAAATATGCCCAATTATACCAAGAGTTAAATAAGTAAACTAGAAAGAGGCCTAAATTATGCACAAAGATGTTCAAGTACTTTTTTTTGATTTTTTAAATAAATGGTGAGGGAGAGTGGGAAAGTATTTGGGGATAAATACCTATAACTTTGGATTGGATCAATCAATTTTAACGAAGTTAGTGTCGTTAGAAGGAGTGTGGATGAGTTAATTTACATCTACTATAAATTAATTGCATTTAGTTTTAATTGTCATAGGTAGAGGGTACTTTCGAATAGAAAAATTTAAAATTTGTTTTTCTTCAAAATGTTTAACGAAAACACCTATTTATTGTAAATTATAATGGAACTGGATTAAATTCGTAACAAAATGGCGCAAGCCGCATGTTAATAGCTTTTGTCGAACTCGAGATATGAATAAAAACGCATAAACATAAGTATAGTATTAACTCACCTTGTATTATAAATTAAATTAAAAAATAAGTCAGTAGGCACTTTCAATTTTTTTTATAGGAGAAGAATTTTAATGTTGATACCTATTTTGACCATTGCTATTTCATATGATTAAAAATAGTTTTTTCGAAACTAAGTAGGATACGACAATTAATTTGACGGGGAGTTCATATTGTTTATTTATTGACAGCAGTCAAAACATTGTTAAGAAGTGTTATATTTCAAATTGAAGATTGCACTTTTTTCAATAGATATTAATATTGGTAATATTAGTAATTAATTATCAGTACTAATAATTCGTAATGAGTATATCATAGACCTGTCGATGAAGAGCGTCAAAACAGGGATATTGATATTTGTGCTTTTGTGGAAGCTAGTGCACCCTGCAATAGTGTACAAATTGCTAGGGAAGTTAACGTGAATGCTCGAACTGCTCAGCGGGTTCTCAAAAGGTATGGGTATCACTGTTTTAAGATACAACCAACACAAGAACTGTTTCCGGAAGATAACTTTAGGCGGATGGAGTTTTGTGAATTTATGTTAGATAAATAAAATGAAAAATGTACACTTTTAAAAAATATTTTATTTTCTGACGAATCTTCATTTTCATTACATAACAAAACACAATCCATCCGTTTCAAGGTATTATTCTCGGAAAAATAAGCACCTCAGTGTTGCAGTGCGAACGCAGCATTCGCAAAAGTTAAATGTTTGGACTGGGAATGTTAGTCGGTCCATTTTTTATCGATGGAAACCTAAACGGGCCCAAATATTTACAACTTTTACATAATGAGATCATTCCGGCAGTTCGACGCCTTCCGGTTAATTTTCAAGAGATTTATTTCGAACAGGATGTGTGTTCGGCTCACAACTCTAGAGCACCTATTGACTTCCTCAACCAAACGTTTCCTGATCGACTGATAAGTACACGTGGTACAATTAAATGGCCCGCTAGATCCTATGACTTAGCGCTTAACGATTTCTTTTTTTTTTGTGTTTTCTCAAAGATAACATTTATAGGCATCAGTTTGAAAGGACCACAAACCTAGTCGAATTAAGGGCAAACATACTTTATTTCTCTGCAAGCATTACACCAGCCCTACTTCAAAATATGAGGAGAAATCTGTATGACAGATTTGGTTACTGTTGAGCACAAGAAATATTTGAGCCCTTAATTCATTAATCTGCTTTCCTAATTTTTATTTTTTGTTAGGTACATTTTACGAAGTTTGTAGATTCTTAATTCGGTAGTATTTTTTATGTTTAAGTTTGGAAGAATTTTATTGTTTTTCTTTTATTTAAAAGTACAAACGATTCTTATTCTATTTTTTTCTTCTTTCTTGACTTATTGGTATAAGCTTTGTCCATAAAATGTGTACAATTTTCAGTGACAATAAAGCATATTACTTATTTACTTATTTATTTATTTGTATTGCTATTAAGGCTAAAAAAATAACCAAAAAATTAGTTTTAGAGCATTATAATAAATATACTCTAGAGATGGGTTTGCAATAAATCTTCGTTTGCAATGTCGTTATCTGTATTATAGCCCTCAGAATGGCATATGGCAAACTCAAGAAAAGAAGACTTGTGGAGACGTTAAGGGAATTCGATGTACCAAATAAAGTAATAATAATCCACGTATAAGATAAATATAAAATCCATGCTGAAAGGTCACTGGGTGCTACTGAGTACGAACAATGTTCCAGTTCCAAATACTTAGGTACCCAAGTATAGAACAAATAAAAGCAGTTGGGAATAGATGTTTCTTTGTACTAAATAAAATATTTAAAAGTTGCTTGCTGAGTTCAACATTAAAACTTAAAGTTTACCAAGTAGTAGTAAGACTAGTGTTAGTCTATAGAGCAAACACTTAGAGACAAAAAAACTGAAGATCAACTACATAGATTGAACGTAAGAGGAAAATATTTTAATGAAGGCATAAGGGGTCTTTTATGAGCAAGGGGCATTTTATAAAAAGCAACAACGTAGACTTTCATAGTGTATAAGAAGCAGCCAGGAAGCACTTTTAGACAGATAGTTGGTCAAGCTCCGGGCTCACCATGTAAGCGTATTATTTTACACTCGGTGACAATGTAGCATCATTTCTATAAATACATATCTTGCTTTTCTCCTGCTTCTTTTTCTTTAAGTGCCTTGTTCTGCAAGAACATTAGCGAAGAGTCGAATGATCTTTACGAACCATACCACTAGCGAAGGTTCTTAAGCCAGGATGTACTTCGTTAGGTCTACTGGAGCCGGAGTGGCTTCTGTACCATATGAACACTGGTCTCGCCGGTCAGACTTTTCCCGATGCCTGGAAGTTTATCCCTCATGCAGTTTCAGGTTCAAGAATGCAGCTTCGAACAACTGCCCTTACTGTGACTTGGTCGATAGTATGACGTATACTCTGTTGGAATGTGTAAGATGGATAATGAAAACTATTAAATTAATAAAAAAAGACAACTAAATTCGTGGGCATATCTATAGAGAATGAACCTTCCAAGCAAGTAAAACATGTATGGCAATCGAGGATAGAAGAAAATGAAAGGAAGATCACACAGGGACAAAAGAGACAAAAAATAATTAGAGACGCTTATTTGTAAGCAGTACTAGGGTTTCCGTTGATTTTTAGCACTAGCCAAGTAATGACTTGCTTCCCGAGTGTCTAATAAATGGAAAATTTCATAGGAAGCTGTGTTTTTTAGGTGGAAAGAAAAGGCGGAAGAATTAAAAGTATTAAATTCAATTAAATTATTAAACCTTGTAAAAGGTTTATCAAAATGTATATTGATTTTTGATGAACAAATTCATGTTCAGTTTATTAGTTGTAGTAACAGCCATCCTACGCATTCATATCTAAACTCAATTGGTATTTAAAATATACAAACATGCAATGAAAATAGTTCTATAAAGTTATAGGTACAAACTGTGGTACAGTTTTGCTACTATGCATTGCATATTAACATTCTGACCTCGACTGAATCATTTTTCATATAACGGGACATCTGATTTAAAAAACTTAATTGATGAATCATATTCTTTAGAATTTTGTATATTTTTACAATTTAAACTATTTAAAGAATAATTTCAGTGTCATCATAGTATGCTTATTATGTTTATATCTAGAAATTATTCTTAAGCCTTACCGGAAAATCAAAGATGGGGAATGAATAATCGTAAATGGTTTATTTAACCGTGAATATCCGATTTAAAAAGGCATGAAAAATAAATAAATGCCAGAATAGTACGCCAGTTGCGTAGAACATGAGTTTACTTTACTATAGAGAAATAGAAAAATGTCAATATTACATACTTAAATATTTCGTTCTCTTCGGATTAGATATACTGCAGTAAATGACCGTTTTGGACTTGAGCCCAGGGTTGCTTTTACTTGGGGAAGAAACCACCCCTTGTCGGAGGTGAAAAAGGGGTACAAGTAAACTCATCACCAATTAGCATAAATGACCTCGTACATAGTACAAACTCATCACCGCCAAAAAACTAGGGATTTTAAAATAGACCCCAGGAGATTGGTAAAACTCACCTACCTGCACCCCGTGGCAGGTATAGACCATAAACCCATTGCAAACCGTTAGATTTGTTAATTTGACAGAAGAAATCTAAAATAGATGTATTAAATGCAAATAAAATTCATTGCAAAATTCTATCGAAAAATTAAAACTATGCGTGAAGAAAAATTTCTCTCCATTTGCCCTTGTTCCTTTAACATGGGTTGTGAACTGCTCATTGATTTCGTTTTGAGCCAACGCGAACGAAAAATAATAGTTATCAATAATTTAAAATTTCAATTGCAAAAGACTCTATAATCAAATTGCCTTTTGTGGACTTGTTCGACGAAAGGGTGGAAGTCTAAATGTCATACAACTTTTGAGTAGATTTTATACCGTTTTTTCAGTTGTTTCGGATTGGTGCGGGAACATTCTTATCAAACAGAAAAAAATCAGCTCAATTGAGTTAAGTTCTTTAAGTCAACTGTACAAGATGTTGCTTGTAGACAAGACATATTATTACTTTGTTGCTTTAAGTAGATTACCCTTTCTGATATTACATTTTTAGATTTCTTATTAAATTGTTAAAGTTACATTGTCACAGATTTAGATTTTAGGTAGACTATTCTACCTATAACACAAATTATGTCGATATTGTTCTTTAAAGTGTGTTAAGAACTCATTTCTGTGTAGAATTGCAATTGTACTGTTATAATAAGTTTTGCAATACCAGCTGAAGATCCAAATATTTTTTTGACTTAACCACAAATGGATCATTTTTTATAATTCAATAAAGTAATTTTCACATGAAACGTAAAAGTATGCAAAGAACTTATATTAAAATTTTATAACTAAAGAAGACTTTATTTTATGGAATAAAGTCCGATTGTCTGAAAATCACCAGTATTGGTTTATATTTTGATAATTATTTTAGTTGCGAAAAATATTCTGCACAACGAGTTGGAACACAATCACAGCGACCTTCGAAAACTAAGCCGTCAAGTCATTAGCAACTTCTGCAAGATAAAAACTCAAAAGGACTTATCGGAGAGGCCATCAAAAATCATTTACCAAAAGATTGAAACTTCTTCTTTCAAAAAACACCTGACAACAACGGACATCTCTTGTATTCGGAGGAATATGAGCAACGATCGTTTGCATTTTATGCCACCTGTACCGAAGACGATGGTAAGCACATCAAGCAATCCGACAGATGATCTAAATACGGACCGCGATAAATATTTTGGTTGCATAACAATTCAACATAATATTATTTTTGACATTTTGAAAATTTACGTTACTTGCTGAAAGCAGAGCCATATTACATGGATAGTACATTTCAATATGCTCCAAAATTTTTCGTGCAATTATTTACCATCTATAGCTTTTTAAACCTACGTCATGGTCTGTACTCAATGAATTCGTTGCTCCGAATAAGCTGGTGTCGTTTTAAGTCCATCAAGACTAGAGACTGATTTTGAATCATAAGACCTTGGGCACAAGGCCGTTCGGCCATCTGGTCAAAATCCAAAAACTTGGTTTGGTAACCACTTACCTGAGGGGAGATTCCACCGGCAAATGGCTGCGCCACTTATTTGGCTTGCCATTTTTGGACCCAGACCGAGTCAGCGATTGTTTTGTCAACGATTTCATGCGGATATCCCTAACCTGCTTTCATTTATGAAATGGCCGATTATATGGTAGAGAACCACATAAGTAACGAGTCTCTTTTCCCTCTTGACTGTTTGAAAATTCAAGTCTAGCCATATACAATTCACCACAAATTCATGCAAATCCTTTCATTCCCATTTTTCCAACTGTTTTTATTAAATATTTTCATTATAAAGTTCACTATAGAAAACCTATACAACTGAATTTTCACATCTCAAAACCGTTTAGATTGGCAGATACATCTAATTGGCCACACCGTAACAAACCCGATATTAATATCAATTTTAAGGCAATTTGCTTAAAATAATTTCTGAATTTAATAAATTAACATATAAACGAGAAGTGTAACAGGTAACAGGCAATCTTACGCATCAGAAACCAGCGCCTTGGGTCAAAAATGCTGGTGATGAGTTTACCTATCTGCGGTGATGAGTTTACCTATCTCCACAGGATGCCGGTGATCAGTTTACTATATCTGGGAGGGTCTAATAATTTTATGGGGTCTATAAAGTGATGAGTTCGTACACGTCAGAGAAAACACATACGTTCAAAATAAGTCCGGAAATGGACAAATCGTCTAATTCTAAGCAACTTTTATTCTAATTATTTATAAGTTAATACTTTTTGAGTTAATTGCTAGTAAAATTTTTATTTTTCAAAATAGAAATCCAGTTTTCAAACGGTCTTTCAAAATATCACAAACTCATAAAGTGAATATTTATCGAAAAAAAATATATCAGCAAAAATGTAGTTTAAAAAAACTAAACATGGTGTACTTATGAAGTCTATAGACCCAGTAGAAGCAGAGTTGTAGCTCATGAAAAGTAGGTTCATATTTGTCAAATACCAAATCGAATATTTTAACGTAAAATAACCAAAAAATGAAGCACTTTTTAAGTGCTTATTTTTGAAAAAAAATTGGTTTTAGAGTAAAAGAAAATTTTTGGAAAATAAAAAAATACCTATTTTCAAAACATCTTCATAATAAATAAAAAAAAACTATTACTGCTACGAAGAATCTTGAACAGTTGAAAATATACGATTTGCTTTTCTGAACATTTCTGGTTTTTGTTGTGTTTTTCTGTAAGCCAAAAATTGGTTAAGTTATTGCTGCTCAAATTTCGCATACACTGGTGATTAGCGACTAGTCCAAGCCCTTTCAACTACAACCCTTTTAGAAATATATACACACATAATCGCTCCTTTTCTACCTTTAGGTGTCGATGGAGGTGATTCTACCTTTCGATGAATTTACTCCATGTGTTGCTTCTTGCCAAGGTTTGCCTTATTTTGTAATATATCTGCTATGTTGCTGTTTCACTCTTTTATTGGTCTACTTGTTCAGTTTTTCCCTATTGTTTTAGCTTCCCTCACTTTTTCACTTGTCTGCTATTGCCCATTTGTGTTATATGACCAAGCCATGCTAATTTTTTCTCCTTTATTGTGTCAAGTCAAGTCAATTTTGAGTCTGATTATTGTTTCTTCATTTTTGAGTCTGTGTGTCCTTCTTGTCCCTATCGTTCTTTTTAGATATTTCATGTCTGCTGCATGTATCCTACTCTGCTGTCTTTAGTCTAAGATCCAGTTCTCTGCTTTGTATGTCAGCGTTGCCCTATATATTGTTTTATATATTGTCATCTTTGTTTTCTTTGATATTCCTTTGTTTTTGAGAAATCCTCTATTTAGGGTCTAGAATAGTTTTCCTGTACTCTAGTCTATTGTTCAGATCGTTCTCGATGCTTCCTCTGTTATTTAGTACTATTCCCAGGTATTTGTATATGTTTGTTTGCTTTATTTCTTGTTGATCTATCACTATTTCGATTTGGTCACCCGTGTTGTTTTTTCTTGTTATTTTCATTATTTGTGTCTTTTCTTTATTTACATTTAAGTTGTATTTTTTTACTTATGAGTTCCATTTCTCTAAATTGTGCTTAAGTTTCCCTGCTGTTTCGGCGAATAATACTATGTCATCTGCAAATACACATATCTCTGCATTTATCATATTCTATTCCATCCCTTACAGTATTTTTTAAAGGTTTTCTTACATTCTTCCACTATTTTATCTGTTACATTTATAAAAAGTACTCGGCTTAAACTACCTCCTTGTCTAACTTCTTGCGTTGTTTCAAATGGCTGCGATTAGATATTTTGTGTTTTGTGATATTTTCGATATTTTTGTTACTTCTATCAGTTCTTCTCTTACTTGCTTCTTCTTCAATCTCTTGAATGCTTTGAATTGATTGAATCAAATGATTTTTCCATGTCTATAAAACTTAAGTATACTTCTTCATTTTTCTTTAAGGCTTTCTCTATTATCATATTATATTTACAATACAATACAATATTATTGTAACGTCACCTACTTCAAGATTAATAATATATGTCTGAATTGTGATTATGAAGGAGGCAGATAAAATTAAACTAAGTATTTAACTAAGAAGTTTTGAATCTATGTTTTTTGGTGTGGTTTGGTAATGTTTACAAGTATGTTACTTTGTAACGTAATGTTTCTAAAGTTTTAATTACATTAATTTGAATATTAAGTTTTATTTTTTATTTAAAGACTTTAACCTGTTTTAGTTATAAGTTTACTGACGACAATGTTTATTGTTTTTTTGGAGTATTTAATAAATACATATTTGCTAATTTCTGATATTAGCAGGTATTTGTTTATATTTTCTTTTGAGTGTTTAATAAACATATTTTTGAGACTTATTATTTTATTTAAATAATATTATTTTAGAGACTATATAACTTTTTTGAAGTATTTTATTGGAGATATAATTTTTCTTTCAGATTATGGATAACCATGTCGATTTTTATAGTTTTTCATTGATAATTCTTTTATAAGTTTTCTGGAGTAATCGTGACGTCTTTAAGTGAAATATTAATCTAATGTTTAGTTGATTTAATCTCGAGTCCCTTTATAAGTTTCGGGTTAAAACTTATTGGCGCCCTAAAGCCGTATTTAGTATTTCTTGTTTCAATATTGTCAAATTATTATCTTTTTATAGATCTACTTTTTATTTATTTATCTGTCTTTGATCTGCCTATTTCTCTATCACGTATATCCTTACCCACCCCCAATAAAGCTTCCGAATTGAGCAAGGTGGTCTTCGTAAAGCTTTTGTGAACGATCATCTTTTTACCATCTACTTTTGTTAGCTTTTTCGTTACAGTATATTGCTATCATCAGGAAAAAGTAGAGATTTCAATTAAAAAAAAAAACACTTTGTGTTCCATCCAAAATCCATAACTTTGGTTTGGCACCTTGTGATGGCACTAATTTAAATTTAAATTTCGACTTTGCCGCAGAAGTTGGTCACCCAGTAGATATGTATATATTATTATAACTACTATATACTTTATTATTACTATATAATATACTTTTTTACATTTTGTGCAAACTGAGATTATGACTAAGGTAAATAAAGATTTCAGTTAACACCTGATTTAAATTAAATGCTAATTTACTTAGGATCACTATTATCATCGTTATAACATATATTCTATTCTGCATGCATTATTAATTTGTTTATTTTTTATCAAATACTTAATATATTCGATTTTCACTTTGTAATATTTCCACCTGTATAATTTCTTTTAATTGGGAAAATTTTTAATAAAAATACAAAAATTAAGACGTAATCCAGCTCGGTATAGTCATTTTTGCGAGCACAGTTATTAATAACATGATAGAAAAAAATCAATAAAGGTCAAACATGACTGATAAAGAACTGTTCTTTACAGTATTGGCTCTTGTAATTATTATGCTACAATCACGATGTTTTATCACAAATTAACTGTATCAGCGGCGCACCCAGGGGAGGTTTGGAGGTTAAACCTCCCCAGGGCCCTATTCCAACACTGTTACTCACTAGTTTTAAGGACTCAAAATGGAGGTAGCATCATAAAAAATTTCGGTGCCCAACCAAACCCCTCCCCCAGAGGAAAATTCTAGGTGCACTACTGAACTGTATCAAATGTTATTCATTCTCTTGTACTTGTCAATGTATTGTTTCGCAATATGATAGAATCGATAAACTTAGTCATTGCAAGTATCTTCTGTTGCAGCCATTATTGTTACGTCATCTACACTGGAAACTATGCTTACCAGGTTTTTCTGTAGCTTGTGTCACAGGTTTAGGTAGGCAACTTCTTCCATTATTTAATTCCATCTTGTTCTTCGTTAGGTGCCGTCTCTTATGGAGGTTGATGATAACTTCTGCAAATTCAGCTCTATTTTAGGCTTCTGTTTTAAAGATTTGAAGGTCTAGTTCTGTCGATTCCTTGGTGCCTTGAACCATGTTATTTGTCGTCTGCCAGGATTGTGTTTTTCTTTTTTTTTTTCGTTTCATTATTAGTTGAAGACAGGTATATCTCTCGTGTCTGAAAAAAAAGTTCACGATCTCTATTCATACCACTTAAAACTTCTTCCTAACATAATCAGTCCACGGAATTTTTAAAATACGGCGAAATATCCACGTCTTTTTTTTTCAAGAACCACAAGCTTTTCCAGGCGTCGCAACAAGTTAATTGTCAACGTTCAGGCGTCCATGCCATGTAGTAAGATAGTGTCTATATAAAGTTTTATCATGCGACAATTAAATTAAATACCAATGGGCTAAGCATGTTTCCTTGCCTAATCTCGCTTGGTGCACTTCCAGTAGTCTCATTGTCTATTCTTATTACTGTAGTATTGCTGGTATTTACACAGTATATTATTTTAAGAATTGGTGTGCATGAATTTACAATGAATGAAAAATGTCTTTCAATTTAACTCTATTGAATGCCTTGTCAGCTATATAAAGCAAGGGAATAAAGTTTTTGTATTCGATGGATTTTTCTTTCAAACATTGCATCTGGTGTAGATCAGTTTCTTCGAAAGCCTTGATGTTTTTTTGTATTTGAAATTCATTATTCTAAAATTTCACTA